GGAAGATGGGGTCTGTTTTCACAGCCGGGTCCCGCGGTGCAACCTATGCCTATGGCGATGCCGACGGCTAGTGTATAACCGCGTATCTTCCCCGACCTTGAGGAGGGGTTCCCGTTCAATATCCCCCTGGGGGGGTCTAAGAGGCACGCCCCGAAATCTGGCCCCAGCCACGGGCGGAACGCCGGCGAAAGCCAACGGACATTTGGCCAGGGACGGCAGGAGACGGCCGCAATTTGGCAGACGCGGTTCCGGGCGTCACGGGCGGCCACAAGATGGTCTGCAAGATGTTCACGAGGGCCAAGGATTGCCCACTGATCGGTCCAGACCGTCCAACATTATTTCTAGACGACCAAAGACCGGGGAAGCCGCCAGGAGGCCCCCCAAGAGAGTCCCGATAATCAAAATTCGTAGGTTTTCTTAAGGTTTTCGATTGTTTTTCGCGTTTTCGCTGATTCGGCTTCCCGACGCCCCAAGACTGCCCAAGAGACTTCAAAGATCGCCCCCGCACGGTCGAAGAGGCCCCCGAGAGAGCGCCCAGACGGCCCAAGACGCCCCCAAGACGGCCCAGGAGGCTTCCCAGACGGCCTACGAAGGTCCAAGGAACGCCCCAAGGGGGACCACAGAGATGGAGCATGGACCGACATTTCCAGCTCTCAGTCCAAAGACCCCCCCAAAGGCCCCCAAGAGGACCCAAGAGTTCTCCAAGAGGCCTCCAGGAAACCCACAAGAGGCCTCCAGGAAGCAGGAGGGCCCCAGGATTGCTGGAAACGCCCTGACAGACAAAATGATGCGCCCTACAGGAATCCTCGTCTTTGCGTGTCCCTTTCGCGCAAGTGAAACCCACTTCTCCTCCAAGGTCTGGATTCGTGGCAATATCAGGTTCAGGCGCCCGCCCCCCAGAGCCCAGAAATGACCAACGATCATCCGTCGTGTTTTTCCCAACCATCCTGTGGTGTTGGGTCCTAGTTTTGAAGAGACAGTCCCAGCGTTAACTCCTCTCTCCTCTCCTCTCCTCGCCTCTCCTCCTCCTCCTCCTCGTCCTCCTCCTCCTCCTCCTCCTCCTCCTCCTCCAGACGTCACTCCCCTGACTTTGGCACACCGCTCACACGTTTCGCGGCCCCCAGAAAGGGGGCTCCACCTAAGACCCCAGTGGCTGCGTTCATATGCCGCACCCCCTTCATTTGGTAGATCCCCGCACGTTTCGTGGCCCCATCGGGAGCTCCACCGAAGGCCCCACTGGCTGCGTTCGCATGCCCCCCCCTCACTTTGGCACGCCCTTCACGCGCTTCGTGGACCCATAGGGAGCTCCACCGACGGCCCCATTGGGTGCGTTCGCATGCCGCCCCCCTTTCACTTTGGCACACCCATCACACGTTCCGTTGCCCCAAAGGGAGCTCCACCAAACGCCCCATTGGTTGCGTTCGTACGCCGCCACCCCCATGATTTGGCACAACTTTCATACGTTTCGTGGACCCATCGGGAGCTACACCGAAAGTCCCAGTGGCTGCGTTCGCATGCCGCCTCCCCCTCCTCACTTGTGCACAGCTGTCACACGTTCCGTGGACCCGTAGGGAGCTCCACCGACGGCCCCATTTGTTGCGTTTGCATGCCGCCCCCCCCGCCCCCCTCACTTGGGCACGCCCGTCACACGCTTCGTGGCCCCAGAGTGAATTCCACCGAAGGCCCCAGTGGCTGCGTTGCATGCCGCCACCCCCTCACATTGGCACACCGCTCACACGTTTCGTCGTCCCATGGGGAGCTCTACCGAAGGCGCCAATGGCTGCGTTCGCATGCCGCCCCCCCTCACATTGGCACACCCTTCACGCGCTTCGTGGACCCACAGGGAGCTCCACCGACGGCGCCAATGGCTGCTTTCGCATGCCGCCCCCCCCTCCCCCCCCCCCCACTTTGGCACAGCTGTCACACGTTTCGCGACCCCATAGAGAACTCCACCTAAGGCCCCACTGGCTGCGTTCGCATTCCGCCACCTCCCTTTCACTTTGGCACACCGCTCACACGTCTCGTGGCCCCATGGGGAGCTCTACCGAAGGCCCCAGTGGCTGCGTTCGCATGCCGCCTCCCCTCCTCACTTTGGCACAGCTTTCACATGTTTCGTGGCCCCATAGGGAGCTCCACCTAATTGCCCCAGTGGCTGCGTTCGCATGCCGCGCCCGCATGTCTTCTCCCGCTTCCCTCAGAGCCTGTCAGCCGCAACGGGTTACATCAGCATGTAACCCGTTTCGTCTGTCTTCCGCGCCCCCTGAGGGCCGCCACAGCGGCAGCGTCCACATGGCGGCCCCGCCCCATTTCGGTGTTTCCTTAGCGCGTTTCGTGGCCCGTGGGGAGCTCCACCGAAGGCATTCTTCCACAACGGCGGTGCTCACAACTGCATATGGCTGGGTCCTTGCCAGGATAATCTCACGGCGCAAAGGTGATGTGGGCTCGGAGATCAAAGGTCGACCGCCGTACCAGAACTGTCCTCGGGTACGTTCTGGTCAGATTCCAAGGCGGGTCCAGCCGTGGCCACGACCATTGGGAAGTTGACAAAAGCTCGAATCAACACCCCCCCCAGCCTCGATCGCCAATCCTCGATGTTTGGCCGCAACAGCAGGTTCCCATGGAAACGCGGACGACCTCACGAGGACGGAGGACCGAGACAGAGGACCGAAACCGATGCGCTGCCCCGCGACCCCAGTCCGCTTCCAAGATGGCATCAAAGCCCGACGACCCCAGCGTTGATTTACGACACCGCGTGGATCGTCCAACCTCGAACAATCGGCGACCTTCCGATGGCCAGATCGTTCCATGTTGGCCGATGCCGCTGGCGGCGTTCAACCTCGAACGCCCGCGGCGGGGTCGCTGCGGCGTCAACGCGACGCGAACCCACCGCGGCCTCAAGGCGACCCCCAGAAGGGCCCAGTGATCCGCACGTGATCTCGACGTGGCTCCCAGCAGGCCGTGGGGCCCCCCCGGGGCGGCCCAACATCAACGGGTGATCACGAGATCTGTCAATGACCACGCGATGGCCATCCAGGCGGGCCCGTTGTGGCCGAAGAAATACCGGAGAAGCACCAGAACACGACACCATGACCCTGGCATGGCGCTGATGCGCTCTCAGCATGAGTCCAAGGCAACGCCAATGCGACATCAAACTGCGGGAGTTGCATCACGCCGGGGATTGATGGGAACAGGAACCCTCGGCCCCGAGCCAGGCCGCATAAGGGGCCCATGGAAGGCAAAAGACGCCCCAGAAACCTGGATCTTCGAGCCTGGATCCTCGGGGCCCGCTGCTGGACCCTCGGACCCCGAGCGGGCAGAGAACGCCCAGCCACCTCCCCAGACACGTGATGTCTGGAATCTTTCTATGCGGGGTCCCCGTAAGTCCCAGCCCTCTCCCCAGGGCTGGTTTTTCATCCTCGGCAGTCTTTCGACGCTCCTGGGGCCCGGTGAGGGCTCCCGGTGGCCGAAATTGAGCGTCGCGTAATGGGGGGGCAGCGAGGGTTCCAGAAAAGGGGCCCTTTAAGACCCTAAAGGGGCCCTTTGGGGCTCCCAAGGGGGCCTTCGGGGTCCGAGTCACGCTTTTTCCAGGAAAGGGCATAGGCCCAGGGTTCTCTTTTAGTATGTAAACTTGTCCCCGGTGCCTCAACTGAGGTGGGCCGGCGGATTCTTTCCTTGATAGATATCGAGGTCGAGGTGGGCCGGCGGATTCATATTTGAGGATGTCTCAGGCGAAACGCTTGTTTTTGATATCCCGATCGAAACATCACAGGGTGCGGGCCACCTCAGCACGACCACACCCCAGCACGACCACACCCCAGCACGACCACGCCCCAGCACGACCACTCCCCAGCACGACCACACCCCAGCACGACCACACCCCAGCACGACCACACCCCAGCACGACCACACCCCAGCACGACCACACCCCAGCACGAACACACCCCAGCACGACCCGATCGATAAATCACAGGGTGCGGACCACCCCAGCACGACCACACCCCAGCACGACCCCACCCCAGCACGACCCCACCCCAGCACGACCACGCCCCAGCACGACCACACCCCAGCACGACCACACCCCAGCACGACCACACCCCAGCACGACCCCACCCCAGCACGACCCCACCCTAGCACGACCACACCCCAGCACGACCACACCCCAGCACGACCACACCCCAGCACGACCCCACCCCACCACCCCCCAGCACGACCACACCCCCAGCACGACCACACCCCAGCACGACCCCCCCCCAGCAAGACCACACCCCAGCACGACCACACCCCAGCACGACCTCACCACAGCACGACCACACCCCAGCACGACCACGCCCCAGCACGACCACGCCCCAGCACGACCACGCCCCAGCACGACCACACCCCAGCACGACCACACCCCCAGCACGACCACCCCCCAGCACGACCACCCCCCAGCACGACCACACCCCAGCACGACCACTCCCCAGCACGACCACACCCCAGCACGACCACACCCCAGCACGACCACACCCAGTCGCACCCCCGTGGAATGTTTCGTGGGGTGTCTGGTGGAGTGGTTGCCTGTTCGTGGGGTGTCTCGTGAAGTTTCAGGGGTGTCTCGTGAAAATGTTTTCGCTGGGATGTCCCGTGAATGTTTCGTGAGGTTAGTCTCGTGGGATGTTTCGCGGGGTGTCTCGTGGGATGTTTCGTGAGGTGTCGCCCAGTTGGGTATCGTGAAAACGTGACCATGCTGCACATGTCTATACTCCCTTTCCGGGTTCGTGGGTCCATCATGTTTCCTTCCCCCCATTTATCCCCCCCCGACGGCCAACGTAGACGATCCAAAACCTTCTGTCGTGATCTTGTTCGCGAGGCGAGCATGTCTGGGTCGAGAAAACTCGACCCCCCCGAGAACGGGGGGCTCCTTCGGGCCCGCGGCCTCGCCGAGCGCAAGGGCGCACAAAGGGGCACCCCGGGCCGGGCGCCGCCCCGGGCCGGCGCGACCCGCACAGGCCCCGGGCATGGGCGGCGGCCGCTAGGCCAGGGCGACGGGAGTCAGAGGAGGAGGAGGAGGAGGAGGAGGAGGAGGAGGAGGAGGAGGAGGAGGAGGAGGAGGAGGAGGAGGAGGGAGGAGAGGAGGTAGGAGGAGGAGGAGGAGGGCACGGAGGAGGAGGAGGAGGAGAGAGGAGGAGGAGGAGGGCGAGGAGGAGGAGGAGGAAGGAGGCGGATGAGGAGTAGGATGAGGAGGAGGAGGAGGAGGAGGAGGAGCGAGGAGGGAGGAGGAGGAGGAGGAGGAGGAGGAGGAGGGAGGAGGGGGAAAACGAGGGAAGGGCGACTATACCGCTGCCCTTCCCTCGTGTTTCCCTTCTCGGGCCTCCTGGGTGGCTCTCGCCGCCACCGCTGGGTTCGCTTGGACAGTCTGGTCAGCACGCACCCTGGGAAGTCCAGGGAGCAGCGGTATCGGTGCCTTCTGGCTTCCCCACCGCCGCTGGCCACGCCCCTTCTGGGCCCAGGACTAGTGCATTCGGCCCCCCCCGCCCTGCCCAGAGAGCGCTCCCAAAACGGTCGTGCCTCCGAGGGCCGAAGGAGTTGGCATCTCTTCCTGGGCGGAAGGCGGCGGAAGGCGGGCGGAAGCCGGCGGAAGCGAGACGGGGCCGCCTCCGCCAGGGGAAGCTGGCGGAAACTCGGCGGAAGACGGCGGAAGGTCGTTGCATGTAGCGGGTTCCGGAAGCTCTGAATCCGAAGAAACTTGGCACCTTTTGAGGGCGCTTCTCTTGCTTCCGCCGCCTTCCGCCGAGCTTCCGCCGGCTCCCCCTGGCGGAGGCGGCCCCGTTCCGCTTCCGTCGGCTTCCGCCGACCTTCCGCCGCCTTCCGCCGAGGAAGAGACGCCAACTCCTTTGGTCCTCGGAGGCATAACCCTTGTTGGAGCGTGCCCTGGGCAGACCATGGGTCCGAGGCGGGAATTTATACATGACCACAGCCTATGGACATATTCGGACCCCTGGGGGCCGAACGATATCCATATCCACCGCCCGCTGGGTCACCCGGACGTCGGTTCCCAGGCGGTGGATCTGCAGAAATTTCCGCCTCGCAATTGGGGGGCGAACGCGCCGCTCCTTCACCACCCACCAAACTAACCCAACCCAACCCGAAGCCTTGAATTTGCCTTCCATTTCCAGTGGGGGGGGGGTCGGGGAACGTTGAAAAAACACATGGAATCCGTACCCCCCCCAACCCGAAATTTGGGTCAGATTCGGGTCTTCGGGTTGGGCTGGGGTGGCCTGGTAGGCAGTCACTCCTTGGCCCAGGACGGGCAGCCCCTGTCGCCCTGTAGGCGCGGGCTGCGCGGCCCTCGGCCGCGGCCCGCCGAGCCAGCGGGCCGCCGCGCGCCGCTGGTGGCCGCCGCCGCCGCGCCGCCGATGGCCGCCGCTGCCGCGCGGGGCTCTGCGGCGGCGGCGCCGCCCGAGGGCAGTGCCGCTCCCCTCGGGCGCGGCTGCGGCTGCGGCCGCGGCCGCGGCTGCGGCTGCGGCTGCTGCTGCTGCTGCTGCGGCTGCTGCTGCTGCTGCTGCTGCTGCTGCTGCTGCTGCTGCTGCTTGTCGTCGTGGTGGTCGTGGTCGTGGTCGTGGTGTTCGTCGTCGTCGTCGTCGTCGTCGTCGCCGCCGCCGTCGTCGTCGTCTTCTTCGTCGTCGTCGTCGTCGTCGTCGTCGTCGTCGCGGCAGTCGTCGTCGTCATGGTTGTCGTCGTGGTCGTGGTCAGGGTCGTCGTGGAAGTGGAGGAGGGGGGAGGGAGGAGGAGGGGGGAAGCGGAGGGGCTGGAGCCTGGATGTAGCCCTGAGCCGTCTCAGCATTTTGGAAATGGACGCGCGGAAGCCTCCGTCCCTCCCCTTCTCCCCCCCGCCAGCCCCTCCCCAAGGAACTCCAGGTCCACCCTCCCCCTCCTTCCCCAGGGACTTCCAGGAGTGAAGAAGAGCCGCCAGGTGCGGCAAGAACCTCTTCATCTCCGACGGCCCCGCGCCCGTGCCCGCTACTGGCGCCCCGAGCTGCGCGCGTGCGGTGAGGGTGCCTCAGGGAGCAGATCCCAGCGGTGCGCATGCAGACCGAGGCTTGCCATCGTCGTCGTCGTCGTCGTCGTCGTCGTCGTCGTTGTCGTCGGCGTCGGCGTCGGCGTCGGCGTCGGCGTCGGCGTCGGCGTCGGCGTCGGCGTCGTCGTCGTCGTGGTCCTCGTCGTCGTCGTCGTGGTCCTCGTTGTCGTCGTCGTCGTCGTCGTCGTCTTCGTCGTCGTCGTCGTCGTGGTCGTTATCGTCGTGGTCGTCGTCGTCGTCATAGTCGTTGTCGTCGTCGTCGTCGTCCTTGTCGTCGTCGTGGTCGTGGTCGTCGTCGTCGTCGTCGTCGTCATCGTCGTCGTCGTCGTCGGCTCCGTCATGGTCCTTGTCAGTCGTCGTCGCCGCCGTTGCCGTGACCGTCGTCGTGGTCGTCGTGGTCATCGTCGTCGTCGTCGCCGCCGTTGCCGTGACCGTCGTCGTCGTCGTCGGCATCGGCGCTGGCGTCGTCGGCGTCGGCGTCGTCGTCGACGTCGTCTTGGTTTCTCATCCTTTGACCCTCATCCCTCGTCTCTTTTCCTTCTCCATCTGTCGCGGCTTTTTTAACAAATGCCCATCGGGAGATAGTCCACCGCCCGAGTTCTGGTTCTAGCTCTCGTCCTCTCTCGACCCCCCCCTTCTCCCTCCCTCTTCCCTTTCTACCTCCCCCCTCTTCTCCCCCTCTTCCTTTTTTCCCTGTCTCCCCCCCCTCTCTCCTCCTTTCGCAGTTGCACACTCCGAGTACTACTCATCCCTCTCCTCTGGTCTTTCGTCAGCGTGCTCGCATATCTCTTATGTGTCGTGTTGCTCCTGGGAGTTCAAGAATTATCTTTCCTTATGTTTTTCGTTCACATGCCCTTTTGGCCACGTCTCAGGACGGACGCTTTGCTCCCGTCGTTCAGAATGGCACTCTCTCTCCAGCGTGGGCCACATTGATTCATCCGATTCCTTTCTCGTCGTTGCCGTCCCCCGCATCCCCTCCGGCGATAGCAGGCCTTGGGTAAGCACAACCTTGAGATCCTGGAGTGCCGTCTTTTTAGAACTGGGCGTTTTGCTCCTGAATCTGCTGCTGAAGCTCCATCGCCTTACTCATCATCCTGCTCTTCCTACTGCTCATCATCCTGATCATCCGCCACCTCCTCCTCTACCTCCTCCTCCAATGTGCCAGGTCCACGGTCTGACTGCGCATCACACGATAAAGTCATCTATCGGGGGATCAAGGTCCTCTAGGACACCCCATTGGGCGGGTACAACGATATCAGCGCAATGGGGACGGGCTGGAGGTGTAGTAGTGTGGCGAACGTGCCCTCTCCCCCCCCGCTCCCCCCCTCCATCGCCTCGTCCGCCTTCGTTCCCCCCCCCTCTCCCTCCCCCTCTTCCTTTCCTTCGTTTGCTCCTCCTCCTCGCCCCCTTCCTTCCCTTCCCTTTTCCCCTCCCCTTTCTCCTCTCAACTTCGTTATCCTCCCGCTGCTCCTCCTCTTCTTCTTCTCCTTCTTCTTCCTCCTCCTCCTTCTCCGCCTTCTCTCCTCCTTCCTCCTCCTCCCTCCTCCTCCTCCTCCTCCTCCTCCTCCCCTCCCCCCTCCTCCCCCTCCATCCTCCTCACTACCCCTCCTCGTCCTCTGTTTCTTTTCCCCTCCTCCTCCATCCTCCTCCTCTTCCTCCTCCTCCTCCCCGCCTCCTCCTCCCTCCTCCTCCTCCTCCTCCTCCTCTCCTCCTCCTCCTCGCCTCCCTCTCACCTCCTCCCCTGCCCCTCGCCATCCAGCTCCTCCTCCCATCCTCCTTCTTCTCCTCTTCCTCCTCCATCTCCTCCTCCTCCTCCTCCTCTCACCTTCTCCCCCTTGCCCTCCAGCTCCTCCTCAATGTCCCTCCTCCTCCCCCGTCTTCCCCCTCCCTCCCTCCCCCTCCCGTTTCTGCCCGATTGGGTGCCGAGGCCGAGCGGAGAAGGAGGAGCTTGACCTTCTCGAACGTTCGTTTCCTCATCCTGCCTCTTCCTCCTCCTCGTCCGCAAACTCCTCCTCCTTCTCTCCCCCTCCTCACGAAGGCGTCGTGGCCTCCGCGGTGGCGACTGCCTCTGCCTCGGACGCTGGGCCTCAGGCTGTGCTGCGGGCCCAAAGCCGCGTCTGTGGCGGCTCCTCCTCCTCACTCGCCCCTCCTCCTCCTCCTCATCCTCCCTCTCTTCCTCACTCCTCCTCCTCCTCCTCCTCCTCCTCCTCCTCCTCAGTCCTTCTCTTCCTCCTTGTCCTCGTTCTCCTCCTCCTCCTCCTCCTCCTCCTCTTCCAACTCCTGATTATATGTAGTTTTCTTCTTATTCTTCTTCTTCTTTCCTCTCCTCATTATCGTTTTCACGTCTCCTTCTCTTCGTCGTCCCACGATTTGTCTTTCCTTACCTCTGTATCCTGATCACCACCATCACCATCATCATCGCCACCATCAAACTCACCATCATCACCACCATCATCATCACCATCCTCCTCATCATCACCATCGTCACCACAATCATCATCAGCATCATCCTACTCGTCCCCACCATCATCATCAGCATCATCATCACCAGTGCCAATAGCAATCCTCACGATCATGTGCATTATCAGTTTCATCATTGGCACTCTCAGCATCATCATCACCATCACCATCAGCATCAGCATCAGCACCATCATCATCATCGTCTCCATAACCACCGTCATCGCCATTGTCGTCGTCATCATCACCATCATCGTTGTCATCATTAGCATCGTCATCGTACTCATCATTACCATCAACAGCATCATCACCGTCAGCATTCGCATCACCATCACGATCATAACCACCCGCATCGCTCTCTACACCATCAACAGCATCATAAGCGCCATCACATCAGCATCATCACCATCACCATCTGTAGCTATTCTGGCTCAAGGCCAAGTGGCGGCTCTTCCACTGCCTTCGCGGGGTAAAGTCCTGTTGCAGCTTCTATTCAGAGCGGCTCTTTCCATATTCAAGACCAGGACCGAGCCTCGCGCCCCTGGCACCCCCGTACTGAAGACCAGGACCGAGCCTTGCGCCCCTGGCACCTCCATACCACAGACCCAGGTCCGAACCTCACGCCCCTGGCACACCGCGCCCGCTGCTGATCCAGCCCAATACCACCCTCGTCCTCATCATCTACGGGCTCTTCTCTGCCCTACTCGGCTCGTACCAGCAGACCCTCGCCGCCAGCTACCAGTGCTACTCCAGCCAGTCTCAATGTCAGCTTCGAGCTCGGGCGACTCCCGTGCAACAGGTTCGCGCGCCTCCAGAAGTGGCAGCTTCTCTGCGGAAGGAGGTGGAGCGCGACGCAGTGGCGCTCGAGAGGCCAAACGACGTGCCCGACGTGAAGAAGAACGCGAACGTGTCCGACGACTGGTTGATCGTGACAGAGATTGTGATCGATCAGACAAGCGTGTTCCGTTACGAAGACGTGACCCTTGGCATTCGGGACGTTCCACAGCAGCCAGTGTCTTGCGACCAGGACGCTCTGGAGGTTCGGGTGGTGCCCGTTAATGTGGGGCTCCTGGATCTGCTTCTCCTTAGGGCGCCGCTCAGCATTTCCCCATGGATTAAGAAGAAGCCGAACGCCTCGCTGCCGAGACCGAGCTGGCCTCAACGTTCCCGTCATAAGAACTTCGAGCAGACGCCGAGCCGCCTCCTGCTCCTCCACAGCACGCTGTAGTGGCCGCTTCCGAGCGACCCGCCATACAGCGACCTCCATGACAGCATCGCCCGGCAGCAGCTCCCCGTTGACCTTCCCGCAGCGCCCGCAGATTCCTGGAGGGCCTGCACCACCTGGACGCTCTGCCGCCATTGAGAGTATGGTCAACGCGCTGCTCACCATGGCCACCCAACAGCCCAGCAACCTCTTGCACACGACCAGGGAAAAAGTACAACAGGATCCTCGAAACACCATCAAGCAGTACTACGCCCAGCAGCAAGCCCGAATCGAGCACGCCGAACGGGACCTTGGACAAATCCACCGCCGCCAAGATGAACAAACATCGCGACAGGAAGATCTTTGTCAAGCAGTACGCCGACTCGAACAGGCAGTCTCTCTCGCTGGAGCGCAAATCCCTACCGTCGACCTCGCCAACCTCGCGGACTACGAGCGTGAGCCGAACCCGTGCCTCTTCCAGATCGGCGCCCCGAGCAACATCCAACCTGCTGAAGTACGTCGCGCCCTCGACCCCTGGATGCAGGACGCTCAGCTCACTGCTGAACATGTGCATCTACTCGAGGATGCCCCTGCTCGCCGATTTCACTTGCACATCCGCGGCGGCCCTGAAGTCGCCCGACCCCGCGCGCACGCTCTCGCACGATGCTCTCAAGCTTATCGGGGGCAGATGGCGCACATTCCCCCCCGACAAATCGCCCAAGCAGGTCCGCAAAGAGCTCCAGACCAAGCGCGTCGCGAACATCCTGGGCGGGAATTTGTCCGGCGTCACTTTCAGAACGCTGCGCCACTCGGGCATTGCGCAGTCGGGCGCGATGCCGACCGCGGAGATCCCGCCGCAAGGCCCCCGCGAGCACTCCGAGCTCAACTGGGGCCCTGCGGCGTTCGCGCCCGTGGGCATCAACGAAGAATAGGTCAAAGAACGTTTCGAGGCCTCCTACATGTCGATCGACACTCGACGTGGTCTTTTTTTTTTGTCAGCAGCAACTGGGCTCCGTGGGAGGCCTTCGAGCACGGCGGCTCGCAGCAGATCGTCTCCTGGAACACGCGTGCGCCCCTCTGCCGCGACCCCCGATGTTGCCGCCTCAAGTGTCGGAAGCTCGAGAACGCCTTCCGTTCGCGGTCCCTCGTCCTCGTCCAGGAGTGCCACGGCTCGCAGGTTGAGTAAGAGACCATGCTGGCTCTCTCTCCCTTCCCGGCCCCTTTACCTCGGCTTCTTTCAGGGCCGCGAATCCAGAGGCGCTGGAGGCCTCGCCGTGCTCGTCCCTGGACTCGCGCGTGCGGAGCGAGATCAGCTCCGCGACGACGCTGCTGCTGGCCGCCCCCCGTCCCTCCTCAAGCCCGCCATCTCGCCCTGCAGCATCGTCGACGGCCGCCTTCAGCTTATCGCGATCAATTGCCACAACTCCGACCGCGAGATCCGCGTCCTCAATGTGCACCACTACATCCTCAGCGACGCCCGGAATATCAGGCTCCGCGACGCGTGGGCTACCCGTGCGCAATGGTCCAACAGCGACCCGCTCCGCTTCGCGTTCACCGCCATGGGCGACTTCAACTTCGCCGACGTGCCCTCGCAGTCGCACCTCATCCCTCAGGCCAGCCAGCGCCGCCTGACCGTCGAGGGCCGCTCCCGACAGAACCGGAGCTTCTGGCGCCAGGTCACCCGCTCTAACGTCGTCGAGATCAGCCCTGACACCCCGACCCGCTTCTCTAAGCGTCACCAGGCGGGCACCACGATCGACGGGGTCTTCGTTGCCATCCCTCCCCCCCTCCATCCCGCGCCCCCACTGCGAGCTCAATGTCGCGCCGGACTCCTTTACCCTGTCGGACATGCGCCTCAGCGACCACGCCATCATAATGCTCGCGATCGAGACCCGTCGCCCACCAGCGAAGGGCCAGTGCCCCATCCCCGACTTCGTCTTCCGCTCCAAGCAGTACAAGCCCCTTTCCGCGAAAATGCCCAGCGGGGCAGAGTTGGGCGCCATGGCCGACCCTCGCCGCTACGACGTTACAAAGCAGATCATGATCATGGCCGCCGAACTCGCCCGCGACGGGCCGCAGCGCCTCCCGCTCGGCACAGGGGGCGTGAACGCGCTGGAGAGGAGGCGCCTAGCTCTCAGAGCGATCGCCCGCGCAATTTGGCGCGCCGATCTGCCTGCAGCCCGCCTTTTAGCTGCCCCCGCTGAGTTGGGGCAGAGATTCCTGGACGTGTCGGGACCCCCCCCTTCAGCCCCGCAACTCCGCTGAGTTTCAGAATGCCGTCGTCCGCAACAACCACGCGCGGTGCGAGCCCGAGCAGCATTTGGCGGCTCAGCGCGCGGCCCGCGCGAATGACCTGCCGTCTCTGGAGGAGCAGCGGCGCATCCAGCGCGCGCTGCAGCGTCGTGCCGCGCTCTGGGCGCCTTTTTCTATAAGCGTTTCATTTTGCGCGGCAGCGCCACCAGTCAGATTGCGCAAAATCCGCGCGCCATCGGAGGTGGGTCGAGCCTGCCGCCAGTGGCCAGAGAGCCGGAGCAAGTGGCCCACGCCCTTCGGCTCCACTGGTCCCCGACTCTCTCGGACAAACATGTTCACCGTCATTCTCTGTCGCCGATCTGCCGGCGCCGTCGCCCGCTGCTCTGTTTCAAGCTTTCAAGCGGGTTCGGAAGTCCCCGTCTGGCCCAGATCGGCTCCCATGTCAGGCGTGGATGGCTGTTTCTGCCACCGTTGAATCCTTCTACCCCATCTTCCTTCGCTTCTTCAGTGCCCTTCCCTGCCCCCCCTCCCTCAGCCATTCCATTTTTGCGTTGTCGCCGAAGGGCGACAGACCAGGCGGTGCACTCGAATGCCTGCGAGACGCGTCGGAGGTCAGACCGCTCTCTTTGAAGAGCTGCGATTCCAGGGCGTTCGCCTCGGCCATCAACTGTCAGCTAACAAAGCTTGCACAGGGCAGGGTCCACGAGATCCAACAGGGGGTCGTCCGCGGTCGCAATTTCTGCCAGAAAACTGCCATGCTGGACGCGCGAGCGAGAGCGGTCGGATTCCACAAACAGGCTGGCTGCTGCCTCCCGCTCCTTGTCGCCTTTGACATCAAGCAGCGTTCCCAAGCATGAAGCGCACGTGGCTGTTTGCGGTCCTCGAGCGCATGGGGCTACCGCCAGGGTACCTCGCTGCGATTCGCGGCCTCTGCTCGCTGGCACTGGCCTCGACGCGGGTTCGCGACGAGGTGGTCCCGTTGTTGATGATCATTCAGGGGTCATGCAAGGATGCCCGCTCAGCGGCCCCCTATGGGCCTCTGGCGTGGACCCCATCATTCGTTCGCTGGAGCTGGCGCTCCCACCTGACCCTCGCGAGGCCTCGGTTGGCGGCCGCGCAGATGACCTCGGCGCTGTCCTGGCGAAGTTCACGTATCTCGCTTCGCTCTACCCCTCCCTCGCCTCGGCCTCGAGCCTCGCATCGCTGCGCCTCCACCCCCTCGAATGCGTGATAGTCCCCTTGTGGGCTCGGTGCACCAGCGACACAGCGCAGGAAGTGCGCGCTATGCTGCGCCAGCTGATCCCTGAATGGCAATCCTTTTCCATCGCAGGCGCCGCCAAATATCTAGGCGTGTTCCTGGGCCCTGACGCCCTCTCCTCCTGGCTCCCCGCTCCGCCTCTGCCGAGTTGCGGTTCTTCCCGCCCTAGGCTACGCGGCGCAATTTTATCCACCTCCAAAAGCGTTGTTCGCTTGAGAGCCGCGCTGCGTCCATGATCTCCATAAGCTGCTGCCGAGCTCGATGACGGGCCCAGAGATTTTGTCGCTGCGCGCATGGGCGATTGTTCCGGCCCCCGGCACCCATTGCCGCGCAGTGCGCGGCGACCAGCTGGCGCGCGGCGCGCGCCACCATCTCCAATGTCTTTTTCTGGCACGACAAGCTGGAAGAAGCCTCGTGGCCAGGCAGCGCCCTCGTCGGTCACGTTCAGCAGCATTGGCTGCCGCCGTTTTGGCGCGACCAGAGCGCAGTTCAGTTCCTGCGCGCCCGCCGCGAGTCCGTCGCGCTCCCGATGGCCCCCTCTGGCCCCCAGCGTTCCGCGGCTGCCGAGGCCATCCAAGCAGCCGCCCTCGCCGAGAGGCTCCAGAAGCGCCCGAAGTGACGAGCTATACGCACTCAAGTCCTCTCCCGAAAGCTATGCCTAGACCGTTTTCACTTGGCGCTGCAGCAGCGCGCGAAAACGCGGTTCCCATTGATGCAGGTCCCACCCCTCGCCCCTCGCTGGTCCGAGCTGCGTGAAGTCCTGGCCAAAACCCGCCCGACCGTCTTTTGGTCTGTCCTCAAAACTCTCTCGGGCGGGTGCATCGCCACCCGCAGAATGCACGTCCCGGTTCAGCGGGGGTGCATCTTTGGGTGCGAAGGGGGACCTGATTCGATTTCTAACTACCTCTCCTGCCCTCGCCTGCTTTATCTCGTCGCCCTTCCCCGCTCTTCACGCCCCGACTCTGTCATTGCACGTCTGGGGCTCGGTGAGGAGCACGAGCATTCGGGGGGGACCTCGCGGGGGCGCGCAGTTTTCCTCCTCGCCCTGGCGCTCAAACTTTACCACAAACTCAGGGTGCGGTCAATTGGATAGCCCCGTCATTCACTTCACACCGAGCACCTTGAGGTGCTGGCTGCTGCGAGACTCTCGCTAATGACCTGAGACAAAGAACGCGTTGCTCGAAGCTACGTGCGATCATCACCAGCATCATCATCACCACCAGCATTATCATCATCATCGCCTGCATTATTGTCCACATCGCATTCGCAATACCATTGCCATTATCAGCAACAGCATTATCATCACCTTCGCCACAATCATCATCACCAGCATCAACACCGACACCATTATCACCATCATCATCGTCACCATCATCACATTAATCATTGTCACCATTGCCATCACCACAATCAGGAACGTCATCATTAGCATCACCATCATTCGCATCATCATCATACTATGCATCATCACAATGTTAAATACCACCATCATCATTATTACCTAGATCGTCGTGATTGTCGTCATCATCGTCACCATCATCATCATCATCATCATCATCATCATCATCATCATCATGTTCACCTCTCCTCGTCCGTTTTGCTCATCCTTCTCATCCTGCTGCTGCTGCTCCTCCTCCTCCTCCTCCTCCTCGTCCTCACTCGTTGCTCTTAATCCTGGCCTTGGCGTCCTTATCCTACTCATCCACATCCTCCTTTAAGGTGATTATGAGCAGACGGGGAGGGTGAGGAGGAGGGGGAGGAGGAGGAGGGGGAGGAGGAGGGGCAGGATGAGGTGGACTGAGGAGTAGGAGGATGAGGAGGACGAGGAGGAGGAGGAGGAGGAGGAGGAGGAGGAGGAGGAGGAGGAGTTTCAGCTAGACCGTGAAATGCATAATCTCACGTTGGTCGCCAGGTTCAGGCGCATCAGCAAATGGTTGAGACAGCAGCGGGTAAAGTAATGGCAGGATATTGACGGTTGAGGTGCAACGAAATCATGCGAGCGGTTCAGGCGAACGTCTTCACACGGTGCATAAATCGGTGAGATCGTCGGCCCAGCGACAGCGAGGTGGACGACAACGGGTTTTTGAACCGCATAGAGTTTCAGGTGCTGGACATGATTGGGTCACTAAGGTAAAGAGACGTGGGCCTGCAGGAGGTGGTTCGGAGAAGGTCAGGCTGGGCCAGTTTCGCCGCCAGCGGGAGCGCGTGGCTTGGCAGTGGGCTACGGGCAAGGAAATGAAGGATGCCCCGGTCGGGGGGGAGGGGGGGTCCTGACGAGGTGAGCGGCGCCCTTGGCTTGCCTCCGAGAAGCGGGGATTCACTGCCTAGGCCTTGGTGCCCCAGATCGTCTGCGCTGGCGTGGCAGAAATACCGCCTAGACGGCCCCTGCCTCCACTGCGGGGCAGGGGCGTGCACGGACGGGGACTTTGCCCTGTCGCCAGCGGCCAGAGGAGGGCCAGCCGCCCTGACGATTTTGTCGGGGATGCCCGGGCTTCTGGAGAGGCGGCCGTGCGGCGTACGGGGCTTTTTTGCGCACCGGGCTCCGTGGTGGCCGCGCGGCGCACGGTAGTCCTGGGTTTCCGGCTGTCCTCCCTGCGCCCTCAGGGCTCTGGTCGTTTGGCTGCTGGCTCGTCTTCGGGGGGGCAGGTCGGGCATGATCTGACCGTTGCTGTTTTATTTCGCGTAGGTGACGCGGCTCGGTCGTGGGTGGCCCTGTCCATCGTCGGCCTCTTTGGGGTCCTGCGTTGCAGGGAGTCTCTTCGTCGTTGGCCTCTTCTCTTGCGGCCTGCCCGAATCCAGGACGCATAGGCGAATTCACGCTGGCACCAATGCGTGCCCGTTTCATTGCGGTTGGCGCACGGGCCGCCGATCACGACCTGGGAATCCCCTCTCGCGGTAGCCCTTCACTGACGGGGGCCCAGTGGTGGTGGTGGCAGGATGCCACCCTGGTGTGCTCTCGAGCGGCACTTGGTCGGCATCCTCCGACCCCCTTACTTCTTTCTCCGCCTTCGGCGGAGGGGGCGTCTAGAGCAGAGGCGCCATGTAGCCAGCACGTACAACAAGCAGATAAAGGAAGAGATGAATAAGCTCAAGGCGGCGGAGTGGAAAGCAAGGTTATGGCGAGCATATCTTGGGCGCAGTTCAAGGGTGCATGTTGTTGTTGTCGTATATCTTATTTCTTCCGCAGTGGGTCAACAAGCGTATGGCAGTACGGCGGTAGAGTCTCGAATTCGAGTCCGAGCTTGAAGGCTTACGCACCTCAGCGTTATATATACACGTCTGTCAGGCTCACGCTGGAGGCGATCTTGATCACCGGGAGGTTTCCCATACACTGCGCACCTAGGCAAGGGCAGTGATACGGAAAACAATCAGGCTAGGCTGTTGCAGGTTGTGCACACATGAAGGACCAGCATGTAGCCATGATAAAGATGGTCTTGTTGGCGCATTCGTGTTCTCAGAGTCGACGAATCAGTTGGTGTTCATGGGCGGTGCAGCATGCCGCATGACCTCGTGGTATTTTCCTCCCCGTGATGGCGCACGCCCCAGGGCCGGAGGACCACGTCCTGATTGCGAGTGGGCTGAATGAAGGAGTTGATCAGGCCGTGGGCACGAACCTGTTTTGCATCGAGAGGGCCTCCACGCCTGCGCGTCTTCGCAACTGAGGTTCACTACGCGGCGGCGAGGCACCACGCAGGGGGTCCTACCCCAGAGAAGGAGAAGGCCATCCGCTCGGACACAAGGGAACACTGGAATGCGAGCATCTCCAGCGCGCCGCTCAGAGATCGGCCTGGCCGTGAAATACTTCCGCATCAAGATGCTGACGAAGGCCGAAGGGGACCAGAAGTGCTTGGTGATCATGTGTTTCGATGTGCAGTGCCCGACGGGAGTTCCGGGCTCGACGATCATGACACAGGTGATCGAGATCGAGGGGAGGGAAGAGGCTCGTGGGCTCCACGGGGCCCACTGGATAGAACTACCTGCAGCCGTGAACGGCAAGTGCCAACGGATAGGTTCTGAACGCTTCGCCTCCGTGGTGGAGCAAGGCGTGGTATCTCGAGTGGTGGTAGATCAAGCCTTCCAGAGTGGCGAGAGGCGTTTCCGGCCGCATGGTCCGCCTGAGCTGCCGAGCACACCGAGAGCGGTGCTTCCAAGACGAGGCAGCGACCGTGGGAGGGCGAGGGCGTCGAGGCAGTGGCCGTGGGAGCGCGGGGGGGGGGCGACGGAAGAAAACCGGGGTCGTCCTCACCGACGTTGGTGCGCAAGCTGCCCGTGTAAGGTCGCGCGCAGGCGGCCTCGCTTCTCATGCAGCGCGCCGCGGCGGCGGCCCGTGTAGGCCACCGCGTCACTGGCCATGGCATTCTGTGTGTGACCCTTTTGTGTTCGTCTCTCCGGTGGAACCTTGCAGCAGAACCCGTCGGTGTTGGAAAGGTTGGCCCGCACTTCGTGCCTTCTCGACGGTGCCTGTCGGGGGGTGCGCGCTCCCTGGGCGCCGTCCTGGCCAGTGCCTCGCTCGAGGGGAGCGAGCAGCGGCCTCCTCTGACAGACTGCGTCTGGGACAGGGCTTCCCGTCCCCACAGCCCCTGGCGAGGAGGCTAGGGCAGCTGACTTCTATGAATTCCATAGGCTTGTCTCGTCTTTCCTCCTCGTCACTCCTTCCCCTCCTCCTCCTCCTCCTCCTCCTCCTCCTCTTCCTCCTCCTCCTCCTACTCCTCCTCCTCCACTCGCGTACTGTGTGCGATATCGTTGGCCATTCCTGGCCAGGGGGATGATATTTGCTTGCAGCGACCTCGCCTTCTCACAGGCCACGGTAGCTTGTGCGATATCGCCTATCGCAGGTCGATGTAAGAGGCCTTCTTGGTTCGAATGGTGATCTCGGTTCGCCTTGCAGCTGCCGCATCGTTGGATCGATCAGAGATGCTTGCCCTCATTTCTCATCCGACCAACTGGAAGGGAATGACGTAGGCAAAAGGGACAACAGCGAGGTGACACACAGTTTGGGTGCAATGGGCCTGGGCCAAACATGGGTAAACAGGGCACTGTATCGTATTGTCTTGGCAGATGAATTTATGCTTTGGAATCTATGAGTCTCTCTGGCGTTATTTTTAAGGGGCATTCAGCAGCAGCCACATGTCGATGACCTC